TAACAGAAGGTCCTTCCGATATACAGTCGGAAGGGCAATAGTGGCCTGATGCTATGTCACCGCCTACGTCATTCACCTCCCTTCATCTCCTCATGGAGGCGTGTTGTCATCTGACCTCATCACAAGAAGAAGAAGGGCGAGTACAGGACAGGAAGACTGTGAGGGAGAGACCACCTCCGCACAGCTCGTATTACAGGGTATTATCATTCTATTTTATTATTAGTTATGGTTGTCAACCTCTTACGGTGCCTAATTTGGAAATTAACTGTTATTGTAGGTCTGGATACGTAGGGAAATAACAGAATATATATAGGCTTCAAAGTATTGGCACATCCAGGACCTCAGAACACATCCCCCCAGAGAAGGAGAAGCTCCTTGGCAAATCCTTCAAAGAAGAGATTTGGCCCTTCACCCAGTAGATGGCAGGAAGGTCATGGAACCTTGGACACTTGCACCGTCTTAACGAAGCTCCTAACTTAATGGAGTAATGCCACGTGCTCTCACCATTTAAGACATGTATCATCTATCAGACCAAAAACACAGCTCCCAGGGTTCTGCTAATCAGCCTGCCCAGGTCAGGGCTCTCTCTCCTGCAGCTCGGGATCCTCCGAGTGGCCCTGTGACTGCAGAGCAATTACACTCCCACCAGCCACACAACCTCTGGTGTGGGACGGAGCCCTGTCACTTCTTGTTTTTCTCAACAGGGATGAGTTGACCTTGCGAAGATTCTTGAGTGCATGCCTTCCTTTCCACACCACTGCCAGAGCTTTGCCTCAGGATTCCACCTCTTTATTCTCTCTCTCTCTCTCTCTCTCTCTCTCTCTCTCTCTCTCACCCTGCAGTGTCCATCCTGTCCAGCGTGCTTAGCTTATTATGGCACAGGACTGACCACACAGAAACCTGCATGGTGGAGTCCTAATACTCTTTCTCTCCTTCTCTACTCTGCATGGGTCTCACAAAAAGTAACCAATTCTCAAGTGTGCCATATACTCCAATGTATTTGTGCTTTTCTTCTTACCTGCCTGCTGTTTGGTATTTGGCTAGAGGCCTTTCCTTTATTTTTCCACCAGGGCATTCCTACACATTTCAGAAGCCCCACTCAAGTGACAACGCCATATGAAGCTTTTGCTAGATCCCCTGTCCCATGAGAAAAATGAATTCCCCGTCTCTTAGACCCCGTAACACCTGTTTCATACCTCTATAGTAGACATTGTGGTATTAGCATTTCACAAACTTGCATTAAGTTTCTTTGGTGATACTTAGAGAAGGGAAAGATGATTCTAAACAAAGAACATGCTCTTCTTAGAGTCATCCAGCCCCTACGATGATTAAGATTTTTGCTAGGCCAATCAAATCATCCTGAAAGTTCTTCCTGAAGTAACTAACTCCCGAGTTCTTCCTAGATCTCCCATGGCAGTGAGCTTCTGGTGTGCTGCCCACCTGGCTTGCCAGACCGACAAAGGTGTGGCCCCACAGCAGAGCCTGGTAGGTAAAGAGGAAGGAGAGATGGTAGGAGCAGGTGTGGAGAGAAGGGCACGCGGCATTGGAGGTACCAAGATGCCACCACTATCAAGAGGAGGAGGTGGTTGGCAGACAGTTGGAAATGCACACCTGAAGCTCAGGAGAGGGCAGAAAGTTGGAAATTCCTCAGGCTAGAGACCATAACCACATCATGAAAGTGAATGAGCAGTCCTTGGGAGAGTACATATACCTAACACCGAAAGAACGATGCAGATGAGCCAGACAAGAGTTTAAAATTTTTTTTTTAATTTAAACAATTAAAAAGAGAAGCAGGAAGTATCCTAGCAGTCCCCAAGAGAGGAGTTCCCAGAAGCAGGGAGAGAAACCACTGAATCTGACAACTGGAACTGTGACCATTGATAAGTTCAGAGGAGAAAGGGACAGTGAAATCAGAGTGTGGGGCTTACGGAGTCAGCAAGTGATTGAGATACGTTCCAGTGAATTTTAGTAATGGGGTTAAGGAGAGAAATGAAGCCATAGTTCCATCTGAAACAATAGCAAGATCAAAAGAAAGCCTTCTCTGTCATTTCCCCTCCTTTCTTTTCATGAGCCTCCTTCCTTCTCTCTCTCTCCCTCCCTTCCTGCCTTCTTTTGCTTCCTCGTCCTCGGTGTGCAGAACATATATATTTATCTCTAAATATTTGTAGGGGAAGAATCCACTGAAGAGAAACAGAGTAAAGATATAAAGAGGCAATAATTGCAAACATAAGGCTGTGGAAAGGGCAAGAGCCAGTGGCCAGAGATCTCAACTCTGTAGAGAAATGAACTTCTTTAAAGGAGGGAAGACTGCTTACATAGAAATGCAGAAATGCAGTGTGTGTGTGTGTGTGTGTGTGTGTGTGTGTAAATACTGAGATTTACACATCATGGTGCTTAGATCCATCTGAGCATGCTGTGCACTCGCTTCTGGTGAGTGAAGGTGGTGAGTCCAGGCTGAGATTGTTTGGTCCTTGCACCTGGTGGGTGCTCAGTCAGTGTTTGTCAGAAGAGGGGGCTTGTCTGAGAGTGATAAGGAATCGCCCAGCAATAAACAGAAAGTTTGCTTATCAAGAATGTGGACTCCATTAACTACAGTCTTCCATTAGCTTCTTATCATAACATTCTGCTGCGGACACAACCTGGGAACAGAAGGAGGAGAAACAGCTGGGAGAGTCTGCAGGGTTGGAAATTGATGAGGTGTGGACCTTTGGTAGGAAAAGGAATGGAACAGAGGGTTGACTATGGTCATTAGGACACCCCCGAAATATGAGCCAGAAATGTCAAACCATGGTGCAGATGGCCAACCTAATCAGACCAAAGCCTCCAGTGTCCTGTGAAAATCTCCATGCTTGTCACATGAAGATGACCTAGAAATCCCAAACGTGATAGCTGCTCCACCTCCAGAAGGTTTCCTCCCTCTGAAACAGTCTCACCCTTATTTACCCTTTCATTTGGCTGACTTCTCATCCTTCACACTTGAGTTTGCTCCAACTTTGGTGACAAGAGGATTAAGTGCGGTAATAGATGTGAATAGTGCCACTTAGAATAGTGCCTAACATAGCAACGTTTTACTAACGCTCAGTAAACGTCAAGGAAAGGAAAAAAGGAAAGAAAAAAAATGCAGGAGGATATTACTAAAATCAGGGTTTGTCTGTAAGAAATAAGTCTTTATTGCTTGAGGCACTGACCCATCCCCTTTTTGTCTAAAAGTTGGTCAGGAAGCCAATCCTGGGAAACATCCTCATCTCTGCCTGAGTCATACTCTGTTAAGAAGTATAGAGAGAAAGAAATGGTTGTTTATGGATCAGAAACAGCTTGTGTGTCACGTTGGGAAACACTTGTTATATGTAAAATATTTTGAGGCAAACCAAAAAAAAATTGTTTTCCATGTTCTATGCTAAAGCAGTGACCTGAAAGAATGAATGTTGCTCTTTCGCATGCATAAGTGGATAAGAAGTATCAACAGTCATAGGAAGAATCATATTTACTGTTTTATAAAAATGTTTCCTGATAAATTCTTAGTCCATTGCTTCCATGCTAATCTTTGGGTATGTTTAAGAGAGGAAAATAGAAGTCAGTGGATTAATAACTATCACTTATTAAGCACCTGTTATTTACACAGTGAGAAGCCCTTAGTGAAGCAGCTATATGACTTGGTGTAATTTTAGTAACACTGTGGTAGATATTATTGGATTCATTTTACATATGTGGCTTAGAGATGGTACCCTACATCATTTATCTAAAATTGTGCAGAGCTAAGATTTAAAGCCAGGTCAAACCTAGGCACTTGGGTACTATGCCATGTTTCCTAGTGGGAATTTTTTTTAAAGATTTTATTTATTTATTCATGACAGAGAAATAGAGAGAGAGAGGGGAGGCAGAGACACAGGCAGAGGGAGAAGCAGGCTCTCCCTGCAGGGAGCCCGACGTGGGACTCGATCCCAGGTCCCCAGGATCATGCCCTGGGCCGAAAGCAGGTGCTACGTTGCTGGGCCACCCAGGGATCCCACCTATTGGGAATTAATTATGAAGCTATCAGTACTGAGATACTAATTACAAGTAATTTTCCAGTTGGAAAAGATGAAGTTTCCTTACATCTATAGTCTATACTTTGAATATTAGTTTAAAAAATTTATCGGATGATAGGTACATTACATGAATTATAAGGAAGTAAATATCAAGTTTGGGAATGACTGTGTAGATTAATGCTTATGTTTTGGTAGCTAATGTGTTAAAGAGTTTTATGGATCTTTTCTTTTTTAAAAACAAAACAGAAATAATCCCCAGGAGAAAATTAGATATTAGAGGCACATTTGCAAAAAGAAACTGAAGCCCACTTTAATAGTGGCTTTTTGCAATGACATTCATAAGCATGAATTTTTAAAACTTGACTGAATATATTTAAATTATAAGTGGGGTACACGCGCCTTTCCTTGTCAAATGATACAGACACGAATAGAAAGCTAATAACGTCCCCTCCTCACTCTGCCATCCTTCCCTTCTGAATAAATAATTTTGATGCATATCTTACCAGAAATTTTCTATATTCATATAAAATATATGAAGCATATATAAGGTTAAGTTATATTACAAAATATTTCACATCATTCTGCTACTGCATTTTTAAAAAACATCTATTATGCAGATTCTTCTCTAAGGCAATAATTTAAATCTTAGCCAGAGATTCTCAACCCTTGTTGCAGGTTCAAATTACTCAGACAGCTAGAAAGAAAAATTGCCAGAGCCCCACTTCCAGAGATTCCAGTTTAATTGGCCTGGGCGGGGCCTTGGCATCATCAAGCTGCCCAGCTGACTCTGACTGTGTAGCTGGTTAGAACCCCTGATTGAAGCGATCCCAACAGGCCGCAGATACCAGCCCCTGCCTGAGCTGTCGTGGTAGGAGTCCTCCCGGGGAGGCCCTCCATCCACCCAGGATGCAGCTTCGCAGCTGCCTGGGGAAGCTCTGGGAGGCCCATCGTAAATTTAAGTGTGCTCAGGAAGACGGCTATCAGATAGAAAATTTGATCTTCAATCACGTTGGGGACACTCAAAGGACTGCAAAGCATGCTACCAAGGCCACGCATTTCAGAGGCCACGTCCATAAGTGTCTGCGCTGTGAAGCTGGATGTATTCCCAGAGTTGAGTAAACTCTAGAGACTAGCCCTTGCCTGCAGAAGGAGGTTTTCAGATTCAGGCATCAGAGCAAGCCACACCCAGAACTCGTTCCTCCCCGCTGGGAGAGGCACCATCTCCGCGGGTGCAGGAGCTTGTTTGGCTTCCCGGCCTGGTCTGGGAGAGTCTGCGAGCCTCCCAAGCGGATCCCTGAATCTGCCCTGGAGACCTCCTCGCTGCTAGGGAAACGTTATAGGATCCTTGAGTTTCCTTCACTTGGGCTGCACATTTGAGAAAACGTAAGATGTACAAAAGAGTTGAGGGGGGGGCTTTTTGTTTCAGTGGCAGCCAGTGATCATTAAGTTTTGGTCTTCAGTATTGCCACGATTGCTTCTGTCTTTTCTCAATTTCCTTTCCTTTCTCAAAGCACTTAGTCGGTCAGAAGGTGTTTTTTTTTTTTTTAAGATTTTATTTATTCATGAGACACAGAGAGGCGGAGACACAGGCAGAGGGAGAAGCAGGCCGCACACTGGGAGCCCGACGTGGGACTGGACGTGGGACTCAACCCCGGGTCTCCAGCATCACAGCCCGTGCTGCAGGCGGCGCTACACCACTGAGCCATCCAGGGATCCCCGAGGTCAGAAGTTTTGAGAGACCAAACTGGGTTGTAATTTATTTAGAAGGAAAAAAAATGTAAATCCCTGAGTTTTATTTATTATTATTATTATTATTTTTAATCCCTGAGTTTTAAAAGCTAACAGACCACGGCAGGTATATATGCACAAAGCACCGTGCAGACTGAGTGAAGACAGGCGTGGGGGGCAAATCCAAATTGTGGTCTTTTTCTCAATTTCTCTCCCAGTTATAAAAGGACACCATTAAATGCTTAGACTCGATCCCTTTGCGCTCTAAATAAATAAATAAATAAATGACTGCCAGGCATTTCAGGTCTAGGCGACGCGCGCGGGGTGACCCGCAGGGCCCCGGGGCCAGCACCGCACCTGCACCGCCCCGCGCTCCAGCCGCCGCGGGGACGCCGGCCTCCCAGGCCACGCCCCTCCTACGTCACGGGGCGGGGCGACCGGCGATTGGCTGCTGGCGGGAGCGGGGCGGGGCCGGAGGAGGAGGCGGACCGGAGGAGGGCCGGAGGCGGACCCGGAGGAGGCCGAGGGGTCGCGGGCGGGCTCGGGCTCCCGCAACCCGCCTTGGGGCCGGTCTTCGGAGACTTGATCCCCCGCCCCGTCCCCTCGCGCCTCCGCAGGAGCAGATGGCGGGCGCAGAAGCCCGGCCGCCTCCGCGTCCCGGGGCGGTGCTCGGCTTCCCTCGCGCAGCCTGAGCGTCGCGGTCGCCGAGCTGGGATGTGTGCGGACCGAGCACCGGTAAGCGGGACGCGCGGGCGCCCCGGCCCGGCCCGGCCCGGGTCACTTCCCCCGCTGCTCCCCGCCTTCCCCTCCCGCTTCCGCGACGGCTGCTCCCGGGGTCCCCCGAAGCGCCTCGGAAGTGGCCTCGAGGGCTGTGGTTGAGCTAGAAAAAAAAAAGAAAAAAAGAAAAAAAAAAAAAGCAAGAAAAGCAAGCAGGGGGGCGGGGAGGCAGAGCGGTTCCAGCCCCTGGATGTCCATTTCGAAGGAGGAGCGGCTTCTCTCGATTCCGAGCGCGCGGGGGTTCGCGCGGAGGTGGACTCCGCGCACGCGCACTCCCGTGGCGGGAGCGAGCCCAGGTTGGTCTCCCGCGCGGCGAGGAGGATGCGCGTCCAGGTGGGGACCCCGCAGGTGGCGCGGGGCTTCCCTGGGAAGGAAGGGGGTGTTTCCGCTGGAGCTGGCTCGCTCCTAGTGGTGGCGGGGGCGCTGCCACCGGGCCCGCCGTGGTCCCCGCGCGCGGGGGGGACCGCGGGAGGGCGGGGCCCGGGACGCGTCCGAGCTGCGCTCACCTGGCGACAGGCTGCCCCAGGTGCCGGGGCTGCCCCGGAGGCCGCGGGGCCCTCCCGCCTCCTGGCGCGCAAGTTCTTTGCAGGAAAGACCTGTTCTGTGGTCTGACAGCGAGGCTGGCCCCGAAGCGCCTGCAAACACTGATGCCCAAGAATCGGGGCCCCTTATCCAGCAACCATCCCATTGCTCTATCAGAAAACTCCGGAGGACATAGTTTTTATTTACTAGGTCAAATTTCTGCAAAGAGTACCATCCTAAAAATCCTAAAACTCTTTTTTTTGGGGGGGAGGGGGGCTTGTTAAGAGCAGGTTGATAACACATGGTCACCTGTAACTACTACTTCAACTCACCACCTTCAACTGCTTCATTTCCCCAGTGTGAGTCAAGCCACGGGAAGAAGTGATGTCTGCTCCTTCTTGGTGTCCTTACAAATGGGTATTACATACCTGCATTGAGATAGATTGGTGGGTTTTTTTTTTTTTTTGAGATAGATTGTTTTTATGGAAATGAGGCCACACTGCATGTATTCAACATAGGCAGCGAGGCAACTGTTCAAAAAAGTTTCAGGGAGTTTTAAAAATGACACTGATGATGTAACATTTGTTAAATTGTATTGAGAAATGGGAAATCCAAGCAGTCTAAAACTGGGTTTCAAGGGGCACCTAGGTGGCTCAGTTGGTTAAACTTTTGCCTTTGGCTCAGGTCATGATCCCCGGGGGTCCTGGGATCCAGTCCCTTGTGAGGCTCCTTGCTCAGCGTGGAGTCTGCTTCTCCCCCTCCCTCTGCTCATGCTCCTGAGTGCACTCTCTCTCTCTTTCTCTCTCAAATAAATAAAATCTTAAAAACAACACAGGATTTCAGGAATGCCTGACCTTTGCATAGCAGGAACCAAATACTTTTCCAGTACAATTACTTAGTGAACCTAAATAGAAATGGAATAGATTGTTTTTTTATTCTGATGTCAGTGAAATGAAGGAAATGACTCATTGGTTAGACAAACTTCTTTCAGTTTTTAGATTAAGAGGTAAAAATGTGCACATGTTGAAGGCTGATCTAGTTAGAAGAAGTCTTTGTAATGAAGGGAAAGCAAAGAAAATGCTACAAGCAGGATCACCTGGGGAGTCTCAAAACCCAACACATTGGTGAAGATACATTTAATCTCTTGTCAGTGCTCGGAAAAAAAGGAGAATCTGTTGATCAACTCTTGGAACAGTGTGTGTGCTGGATGCTATCACCATTTCTGGGCCATAGTTAGAGCAGCTGAGTAGCTTTCCTTATTGCGTAAGAAGAGGTTTGAAGTGAGTGTATGCTCTTGAAGACATTCCCTTCCTGTTATCTTAGATGGGTTTGTTTTAGGAATCCTCTTAGCCACAGAAACAACCCTTTTCATGGACCTAGTGGCACTATTAGAGTATGAAGTAATAATGGTACTAGTTTTTTTTTTTTTAATTTTTTTATTTATTTATGATAGTCACACAGAATGAGAGAGAGACAGAGAGGCAGAGACACAGGCAGAGGGAGAAGCAGGCTCCACGCACCGGGAGCCCGACATGGGATTCGATCCTGGGTCTCCAGGATCGCGCCCTGGGCCAAAGGCAGGCGCCAAACCGCTGCGCCACCCAGGGATCCCAATGGTACTAGTTTTGTAGAATACGTGTAGCCTTCATGGAATCTTTCTTTATGCTTCTAAATGGAGGGTGTATTCTTATAGCAATTGGATGTAATAATATGGGAAAATATATTAAAGCCTGTAAATCTTTCCAGGCTTTGACTCAATAATCCTGGGTCTAGAAATACATACCAAGGAAATCACCTGAATTTAATATGAAGATTTATAAATCTGTCCATTACCATCTTATCTGTAATATGAAAGAAAAAGAAACATAATTAAGCCCCAATAGCAAAATACTTAATGTACTATATATCTATGTTGATAAAATTCAGTTCAAAAATAGTTTTTGAAAACATTTCATGATTCAAAAATATCCTTGCAGTGTATTGGGTTGAAAAAGCAAAATTTAACACTAGTATCTCGAATGTGTAGAAGATAATTTTGAAATATAAAATAGGATTTTCTCACATATTATACTCTTCCTGTATGTCATTGTCCTATATTAACAAATATTGAACGTTGAACAAGACTGTTGTACTTCCTGTTTGCCTACAAGTTCCTGTTTGTATCAATGGGTATATTCACTGACATATATGAAAAAGAAATTGGATTTGTAGGTGGTGGAGTTAGAGCTTTCTAAAAATATTTTTCCTCATATTCCCAAATCTTTTATGGCAACTATTATTTTTATAATCACAAAAATACTGTTTTGAAAAATATTACCAAGAAATACCCAAACTGAAATTAAAACTCTTACAGTCTCCATTTTACATACTATAAGCCCTTTTCAAAAGATACGATAAAATACAGTGAGAGAGAGACACCCATGTGAAAAATCATGCCCAATGGAAAATAGACATACATGGGCAATCACAAAAGGGAAAAATGGACTTTTTTAAGGTTGGGAGGAGAACCCTAAGCATGGAAAAAAGTTACCACATTTTTACACATCGTATTAACAAACATGAAAAGTAAATTAAAATGTGTGAAGTTGTTGGGAAGGAAGACTTTGTTTAATGGTACAGAAAATGTTCATGATAGAAGGAATGAAAAGTTAAAAAAATCTTACTTTTGAAAAAAAATCCAATCTATGCACAGAAACTACTTTATTGGGGGAGAATAACCAAAATGTTCATGTTACTTATATTTGGGTGATTTCTGTTTTTTTTTATGGTATTAATCTGTAGTTTCTAAAATTGCTACAATAAATACATTTGAGTTATCAGGAAAAGCAAGTCACGGTCCTAATAAAGCAGCTCATTCTAGAATGAAGACCACATAGGTGAGCTCTCCCTTCTTTCACAAAGCCTCTGTGGTGGGTAATCCCATGTCAGGTGTCGTCATTGTTTCTGGATTATATTTGCTGGTGGGAATGTTTGGATTATAAGGGAGATCCCAAGGTAAAATTCACTCCTGTCACATTCACTCTTCTGCCTCCGGCTGTTTTTTGAAATAATTAGCAGTGCTGGACTGATTAAAGCCTTATTCCTTTTCATTTCCTGTTGATCACATCTGCTTGGGGCTCAAGCCGCTAGGCCTTAATTAAACACTCCCTAATTTCTTTTTCTGAAATCAACCTATTCCATTTAAGGCCTCTCTGAATGAGGAGGAGGGATAGGAGTGTTTTTCTGTTAGCAAAACAAATTTATAGAACTTCAACTTTTGATGTAGGAAAGGTAATAATAATAAAAAAACAAAACAAAACAGTAGCTTATGAGAAAGAGGGTGGAAATCAGTTTTGAATTATCCAAAGACGTTGGGA